TTACATTATTTCATATCTCTTGACTTTGTTTGTTTGTTTTGGTTTTCGTTTTCTGAGTCAGGGTTTCTCTGTGTAGCCCTGGTTGTCCTGGAACTCACTCTGTAGACCAGGCTGACCTCAGACTCACAGACATCCACCTGCCTCTGCCCCCCAAGTTCTGGGATTAAAGGTGAATGCCATCACCGCTATCTCTCAGATTTTAATTTGAGGGCTTAAAGCTATGAACTTCCCTCTTAGGGCTTCCCTGGCTTCATCCCAGAGGCTGTGATGGGATGTGCTTTCAATTTCATTTGTCTCTAGGGTCATACTCATTTGTACTAACAGTCTACTCCTGGAGGAGGAAATTAGGAAACAAATTCCATTCAAAATAACTCTGCCCCCAAATTAAACATTTAGGGATATATTTAACTGAATACAATGAAAACTTCAAGATTCTGAAAAAGGATTGCAGGAGATATCAAATAGTGGGAAATTATTACATTTTCCTGAATAGGCAGAATTAGTATTGTGAAAATACCTGTACTGAAAACTTAAGATAAAGAATGAATGTATACCTATCCAAATTCCAAGCCATTTTCCATGAGTTAGAAAAAACAATACAAGAGCTACATGGAACCACAGAAGACCACAAGTAGATAAGTATTCCTAGGGAGTACTAACGCTGTTAGAGATATTGAAACACCTGACCTCAAGCTACATCCTTGAGCTATAATGATAAAGACAGCCCAGTCCTGGGATGAAAGAGACAGACAGGCGAATGAAATGGAACAGAGAACCAGCACTAAAATGACAAAACTCACATAATATTTGGCAAAGAAGACAGAAACATAATTTGGAGAAAAGATAACCTATTCAATAAATGGTGCTGGCAAAACTGACCACACCTCTAATCCTAGAAGCAGAGGCAGGTGGATCTCTTGTGAGTTTGAGGCCAGCCTGGTCTACACAGCAAGTTCCAGGTCATCCAGGGCTGTATAGCCAGAGTTCTTTCAAATGCCACCAGCTGTACAGGAACCAATCCCAAGTAGTAACAGACAGAACTACAGGAAAATGAAGTTTCTGTACAGCAGAGCAAACAATTCTCAGAATTAAGAGATAGACAGCCCCCAGAATGGAGGAAAATCTTTACCAGCCACAATTCAGACAAGGCGTTGATATTCAGAATTTACCAAGAATTGCAGAAGTTAATTAACAATGAAATAGAACTGCCAATCACCAAAGAGTAAGTATTCAGTTTCCAAAAGCAGACAGTTTCCAAAAGGTCTCTCTGTGTAGCACTGGCTGGCCTGAAGTTTCACTTGCCTCAGTGTAAAGTGTAGTTTTCCTCCGCCAGCCGCTTGGACTCTGCCACAGTTGCAGTCCCCAAATAACACACAGGAGGCTATGTTAATTATGAAGCTGTTGGCCGTTTGCTTGTTTCTTTTCTTTTCTTTTCTTTTCTTTCTTTTTTTTTTTTTTTTTTTTGGTTTTTCGAGACAGGGTTTCTCTGTGGCTTTGGAGGCTGTCCTGGAACTCACTCTGTAGACCAGGCTGGTCTCAAACTCACAGAGATCCGCCTGCCTCTGCCTCCCGAGTGCTGGGATTAAAGGCATGCGCCACCAACACCTGGCCATTTGCTTGTTTCTTACTGGCTATCTCTGACTTAAGTATTTACTCCATAATTAATCTAAGTATTTCTCTTACCTGAGAAAAGGATCCGGACATCTCACTTCTCTGGCAGGGCTACATCCTCTCTCTGTGTTTCTCTTTCTCAGAATCCTCCTCAACTCCTTGTCCCACCTATCTTGCTTCCCTATTGGCCAACAGTGCTTTATTGATATATACATAAGACTTCCCCATCACCTCAGCCTCAAGGTGTGTGCCATGATACCTGCAACACAATAACTATTTTAAACAGTGTTCAATATCCCTAGACATCAAGGAAATACAAATTAAAACTACTCTGAGATTAAAGCAGGAGGATTGCAGTGAGTTCACGATGAACATGTGGTACATGGAGGACCCAAGGTCAGACTTGACTAGAGTAAAACCATGTAAAGTTTTTTTCCCTATATACATTGTGGTTTTGTCTGTGTGTGTGTCTGGGTAAGAGGCCAGATCCCCTGGAACTGGAGTTAGACAGTTGTGAACTGCCACGTGGGTGGCAGGAATTGAACCCTGGTCCTTTGGAAGAGCAATCAGAGTGGCCAGTGCTTTTAGCCACTGAGCCATCTCTCCAGCCCCAAAACCATGTATTTAAAAAGAAAGGAAAACAAAAATCACAGTTGCAAAAAAAAGGGTCACCAGTCGGGCATGGTTCCATCACTCAAGAGGCAGAGGCAGGTAGATCTCTGAGTCTGAGGCTAGCCTGGTCTACAAAGCTACACAGAGAAACCATGTCTCAAAAATCAAACAAACAAACAAAGGGTCACCAAAATTATCTTGAGCTATCTTAAGTCAATTTCCTCAACTTTCTCTCTGGCCTAACTAATAGTAAACATCTCAAAATATATTCACTAAGTTAGGCGACATTCAGCCTCACCAACCCTAAAGCTAAGAGTGGTGTAAATTTTACCATGAAAACCAAACAAAAGCCTTCTGCCAGCAAATTCTACAACAGTTCTTTTCCCCAGGACTAACAAATGCTAGTAGTAGTGTTTAAATGGGTCTGGGGGGGGGGTGTCTCAAGAAAATGGCTACACCACATGTTCTAGCTTGCTTTCTGTTGCAGAGGCCAGAACCATGCAGGACAGGCACTCACTGGCTCACTCCCTACCTGCTTGAGCTGCCTTTCTCCCACAGCCCAGGCACTGTTTACAGAGGGCTGAACTCTTCATCAGTTAGCAACTGAGAGCCCCATAGGGCAACCTCAACAGAAACTCCCTCAATAACTCTAGGCTGTGTCCAACCAACAGCTGAGTTTAACTGGGAAACCATACAATCCGAAGTGTTTGAGCAAGGCAAGATGGTTGACTTCTGCAGAAGGGAGTTTAGCCGCACATAAGCAAGCATATTGTATAGGGAGAGTGATGTTACATGTTTATCCCTAAAGAGTCCTGTGCCTTATTCTGGTTTATCCCTAAAGAGTCCTGTGCCTGCCTCATGGACTTAGTGGCTGGCAGAACAGTTGATTAGCAAAATGCAACTTCTGAACACAGGATCCGAGTCAACCTTTAACAGAGAGAGCAATCCTCAGTACATTACTTCAGTCTTAGGACGATACTGACGGGGAGGGGTTCTGTCTGATGGCACCTTTACCAATTCCTTCAAAGACAGAATTGACTAGGTCTCAAGACTTCTTCCATACAAAAGATTATTTCATCCCCATTTCCCACAGTGGGGAAGCGGGGGCCTCATAGGACTCTGGGGATGAGACCAAAAGCACCACCTCCTTTACAAAACACTCAGGTCAGGACTGGAAATAATTCTTGGAGTGCCACATCTCTGCTGTGCAGAACAAAATGCATCTGTTTAAGAGACTGTTGAGCAGGAGTCCATGACCACATAAGACAGGTGCAGAACTTAGCAGGGGCATCTTTCATCAGGGTCTCCACAAACCTGAAGGGGGTTAAGCACCCGTAACCTATCAAATACAATCTTCTCTGAAGGGAAAAGTTGCCACACTACCAAATTTATTCATGTGGGACCCAGTTAAGGTCCCCAGGTTCACCAAGTAGGGAACTACAGGAATGCAGCTCCTAGGAAGGAGTTGAGGTACACAGGAGACCAGGGTAGGAAGAGGCAGAGGGAAAGAGCATGGAGGGAACACAGAAAGGAGCAGTGCCTCCACAGACTTTATTCTGGAACGACCACAAAGGGGTAGGGTGAGGCGTCTCGGGTGAGGCGTCTCTAGTGTAAGGACAGAACCAATTACAGGAGAGAAAATGGAAAGGAGGAAGGGCCGATACAGTTTCCTTTTGTGGCCAATGGTCAGTAGTTACTAGGGTAGCTAGGGGGGCAGGGTGTGTAGTGGGTGAGTCAGACAGCCAATAAACATCTCTTATGGGGTACTGGGTAGATGGGGTGATGAGGCAAGAATCTGGAAAGTGAGTTGGCATTAAGTTACTTTAGTTCTGGGAGTTGTCATTGCTTAAGTAAAATGGAGGCACTTTATAAAATGGCATGAGCATGGCTAGCAATTGAGAATTTTTCACTTAATGTGGTACAGCTGCTAAGGATTTGAAGCTTATTTGTGGAAGGAAAGGGAGCCTGCTGTTGAGAGGTTTTTGGCCACAGGGGATGGGGAAAAAAGAGGCAAAGGTGGAATGGTTCAGCTTGCTTTACACCGAATAGGAGTTACGGGATTTTATAATGACTTGCATCACTAGCCATTGTTTTCTAGTTCTTTAGACAAAAAGTCACCCACTGTTCTTTCCTTTGGGCAGCTCTAACAACCAAAGCAAAAACCAAACACGGTAGCTGTGGCCGCTCTATTTTGTAAAGCTCCCCCATTTTGGTAAAATAATGTGAATTCCTGAAACCAAAGAAATTTAGTGCCCACAACCAAAGTAACTTGCTTTTCCAGATTCTTGCCCTCCACGTCCTATCGACCCCCCAGTAATGAGGATGTTTATCAACCTCCTGACATTTTAAACTCACCTTATTTCCCAGCTACCCCTAGACAAGCACTTTCCTACCCCGCAACTCCCTTCGGTGGTTCTCGGACCCTACAGGGCACCTATGCAGGTCTTTCCCAGGGTAAAGCCCGGGTTCGTTTCCTCATCGCCTTCTCGATGACCTTATAGCACAGGATCAGAGGGCAAAAGAGCAGACGCTCCCGAGGCAGCGGGGCGCTCGGGCTTTCACCCTGCGGCCCCTTTAAGAAAAGAACCCTCTCGGGACCCGCAGGCCCAACCGACCCCAGTTTTAACCGAAACCTAACCTGGACTTCCCCTTCTTGACTCAAATAAGACTAACTTTGGATTTTCCCTCCCCTCTCGACCAATCAGATTCTGTTACCAGGCAGACTTTCACTGCCTTCGTCTTGGTGGCAGCAACGACCAATCACAGAGTAGGCTGTGCTTGTATCCAGGCAGATCGCGGCTGGCACAACCATTCAGAAAAAGGAAAATAAAAGCAACGCACGAGCCCGCCGGCCGGGCACCGTGGGGCTGGGCTGAAGCGGAGGTAGCCAAGGGGCTAGTTTCTCTTTCTCTCTTACCTTTCTAATGTCCGTGCTGGAAGGTGACGATTCCGAGGTAGGAGGGGCGACAGGACTCGGGTGCCAGCAGGGCCAGCTTTCCGCAGCTCCTCACCCATGCGCACGTGCCCGAATCTGGGACCCGGTTCCCCGCAGCGTTTTCTGCGCCTAGTCTCCGGAGTTCGGAGACCGACCCCCGCCCCCCGCCCGGGGCCAGCACCAAGGGATGGGGTGGAGGGCACCGAGGGGAGTGGGGACGCCACGGGGTGGGATGTCATGGGATGACGTAGGGTCCGCGCCGCGGCGAGGGGGGCAGCGGGGGGGAAGCCGTGGCGAGACTCAGTAATGAGAACTTGGGCCCATTTTTTTTTTCAAACCTGGAAGGGCTGAGTCTGTTCGTATCCCTTCCGACCTCCCAGGCAAAATCAATAGCGGGGAACCTATTAGAATATCGGAGAACTTTGATTTGTCGTTATCGGTTTTTTTTTCCGGGGGGGCGGTTACAGCACTGTGAGAAATAATGTTTCTTTCTAACCGTAAACCGTGAATTTCCCTACCCCTATCGCTTCCCATAACAGTTTTCCAGATTTGAGAGACTTCAAAAGCTGGGACATCTAGAATGGAGATGTCAGAGATCTCTTTGGGTCTAGAAGGGCCTGACAAAGTAACGGAATAATTCTAATTTTAGAGAAGGCAAGTGGTGAGGAAAACCACTGGGGGAAGCTTTGCTTCTGTTGTATTTCTGGTGGAAGCAGGATTGCCCTGGGGTCTGGGGAAAGGAGGCTTGGTGGGAGTTAAATCCTGGCGTCCTGTCTCCTCTCAGCTTCAGCCCTCATGCTGGGATGGCAGAAGATAACCCTGATGCTAAGAGCCCCAAGGCTGGGGCAAGGCCCCAAGGTGGTGCTGAGGCTGGGGAGCCCACCACCCTTCTTCAGAGGCTCCGAGGTACCATTTCGTAAGTACTCCATCTGCTCTGCCTCTAAACCGCCTGCAGGTCCTGGTTGCCCTTCACTCCCCCCTCAGGCAAGTGTTCAAGAGCAGGCCGAGGTCTGTGGTCTGGGTAGCAGTTCAGTCCTTTTTCTGTATCTAGCAATCAGACAAAGGGATGGGGAAACCTTGTGACCTCCAGCTTTTCTTCTTCTCCACAGCAAGGCCGTGCAGAACAAAGTAGAGGGAATTCTGGTAAGCATGTTGGGAAGGGACAACAGACCTGGGGGTGGTGCTGATGGGGGAGAAAGTAATAAAGGGTTATGTGGGAGAGGCTTCATCCTTCTGTGGCCATTGTAGAAAGAGGTAAAATCAGACCCAGTCCCCTCCCCTGTCTCCCTCTCTCTCCATGGAAGCCCATAAGGTTCCTCAGCACAGCAAACCCTGCACCTCAAGCCATCTCTCAGGTCCCGTTTCATTCTGACAGCCTGACGTAGAGTCAGTAGGACTTTATGGTCAAGATCAAAAGATTGCTCACTGGGGCCTTGGCTTCATTTCTCCTACCTCTGTTCCCTTCTGCCTCAGCAAGAAGTACAGAAGTTCTCGGACAATGACAAGCTGTATCTCTACCTCCAGCTCCCTTCAGGGCCCAGCATTGGAGACAAAAGGTACTTAGTGGTGGTGTTTTGAATGTCACAGGTTCTGATTTTCAGTCTCATTGTGATGAGTCAAAAGGTGGAGGGAGGGGTTGGAGAGATAGCTCAGGGGTTAAGAGCACTGACTGCTCTTGCATAGGACCCAGGTTCAGTTCCCAGGACCCCCATGGTAGCTCACAACCATCTGTAACTCCAGTTCTGGGAACTGTGACACTGCTTTCTGACCTCCAAGGGCACCAGACACACATGCGCAGACAAAACACACATACACACAATCTTTAAAAAAAAAAGGAGCCGGGCGTTGGTGGCGCACACCTTTAATCCCAGCACTCGGGAGGCAGAGGCAGGCGGATCTCTGTGAGTTCGAGACCAGCCTGGACTACCAAGCGAGTTCCAGGACAGCCTCCAAAGCCACAGAGAAACCCTGCCTCGAAAAACCAAAAAAAAAAAAAAGTAGGAGATGCATAGCTGGTGTCCTGCCCAGGCTTGGTTTAGCAGAGAAAGATGGGTTTGGGACTAAGTGATATGGTCCAGCACCATTGAAGTATGTGTGTCCCTTTTTCGTGTCTTACAGCTCAGAGCCAAGTATACTCAGCAATGAGGAGTATATGTATGCCTATAGGTGGATCCGAAACCACCTGGAAGAGCACATGGATACCTGTCTACCAAAACAGAGCGTCTATGATGCCTATCGGTATGTAACGAAGGTGCTGCACGGGTTGTTGGGTACAGGACTAGATCCTTACCCCTCAACTTCATCCTGCCTTGCTAGAGTGTGACCTCTTAAAGGGTTCCCCATACTTGGTCCCTAGGAGCCCTCTGAGCCCACCAGTAGCCTTCTCTGAATGTCTTCTCACCCTACCCTCCTCACAGAAAGTACTGCGAGAGTCTTGCCTGTTGCCGCCCACTCAGCACAGCCAACTTTGGTAAAATCATCAGAGAGATCTTCCCTGACATCAAGGCCCGAAGACTGGGTGGTCGGGGCCAATCCAAGTATCCTTGACTGAAAGATTAGGACTGGAGGACCGGGAGGAAAAGGTGTGATATAGAAACAGCCTAACCTGCCTACGAGGCTGGAAGAGCCCCAGATTTTGGCTGCTCCTTAACTTGCATCAGATACTGCTACAGTGGCATCCGAAGGAAGACCTTGGTATCTATGCCACCATTGCCTGGACTTGACCTGAAGGGATCTGAGAGTGTAAGTAATGATTCTCTCTCCCACGTAAAAGACAGGTCTTCAGGACTTGTTTCGATGGCTGTGAAAACCAGTCATTCATACATTGCTTCTGGCGGACTGTCTGCCTTCTCTGTGGCAGAAGCACGGGGGGGGGGTGTATTTGACTTTCTGGGTCTTAATGGGTAGGAGCTACTTCTGTCTTTCTAGTCAGTAACAGAGGAGTGACAAGTAATTTACTTGATAATCTGACTGAGCTTGTCTTTCTCCACTGCAGCCAGAGATGGGCCCGGAAGTAAGCCCAGCACCTCGGGATGAACTAGTGGAGGCAGCCTGTGCCCTGACTTGTGACTGGGCAGAGCGGATCCTGAAGCGGTCCTTCAGCTCCATTGTGCAGGTGGCCCGCTACCTGCTGCAGCAGCATCTCATCTCTGCCCGCTCTGCACATGCTCATGTGCTTAAGGCTGGGGGCCTTGCTGGTGGGTGGACCCGCTCTTATGTCCGAGAAATCTTCAGACACTTTTAGCTTAGCTTTTTTTGGGGGAAGGGAGGTGCAGAGTCTCACTATGTTGTCAAAGATGGACTAGAACTCCTGGGCTCTAGTAGTCCTCCTGCCTCAACGTCCCAACAGACAGACACACACCGTCGTACACTGATTCCCTTTTCAGCTCTACAGGCCTTGTGAATACAAGAGTAGACACACCTTGGGTTTCCTTCTCTTCCCAATGATCCTTCTTGTGTGGGTGGACAGGTGTGCAGGCCAGGTGGAACTCAAGTCATGCTTTTGTGGCAAGCATGTAACAAGTGAATTATCAGCCCAGCCCCTCCTGGAGCTGCTTCTTAGACATGCTTTAAACACGGGCACTCCCGTCTGTCCCCGGCAGTTAGGCAGGCAGGTTCGCTTCACTCTCCATACCTTGCTTTCTGCTCACTCTTGTGTCATTACTGTTGGGTACCTTTGCAGAGGAAGATGAAAGAAGCCCTCGAGAACGGCCATCGTGTAAATCCAAGAATGGTGTAGAGAACCTGGAAGGTGGCGGCCCTAAGAAGCCTGAGAGACCTGTCCAGGTTAGGCTGGTGCCTCTGACTTTGTGGCCTAGGGCTTGGGTTTTAGGGTACCCTTCCAGCAGTGAACCTCCTGCTTTTTCACTTCCGGTACACCAGCTCCTTCTTTTCCTCCTGTATTCAATCTTTATTAGTTATTTTTAGGTTCATTTTATGTGTATGAATGGTTTGCTTGGATGCATGTATGTGTACCACATAGGTACCTGGTGCCTAAGGGGAGAAGAGAACTTCAGATCCCCTGGAACTAGACTTACTACTGGGAGCCACCATGTGGGTACTGGGAACTGAACCTGGATCCTCTGCAGAACAACAAATCCTTTTCATCCCTGAGCCATCTCTCCAGCCCCTGTGCCTTATTATGACTGTGTTTGCCTTTTAGCCTCCTAAGGAGCTGGAAGCCCGAGCTGGAACTGACCTTGCAGGACATGGAGAACGGAAGAAGAGTATAATTGACAGCTCAGGTCCAGCAGCCAGTAAGCCACAAGTTAATGCCCTTGTGGCCCGGCTGCCTGTGCTCCTTCCCCGAGCACCACGATCACTTATGCCACCTATTCTGGCCCCTAAGCTTCCTTCAGGCACTCTGAAAGTAGCTACGTTGCCTCTGCCCACTAGGGTTGGGGGACCCCAGGCAGCTGTGCCCATCATTAACATGATCTTACCACCTGTTCCTACTTTATCAGGTCCTGGGGCTGGACTCGGGCCTGGGGCTGGAGTTGGGCCTGGGCTTGGGCCAGGGCCTGGAGTTGGGCCTGGGGCTGGAGTTGGGCCTGGGGCTGGGGCTGGGCCTGGGGCTGGAGCTGGGCCTGGGGCTGGGGCTGGAGCTGGGCCTGGGCCTGGACCTGGGGCTGGGACTGGGGCTGGGCCTGGGCCTGGGCCTGGGGCTGGGGCTGGGGCTGGGCCTGGGCGAGTTCCACCTAGGGCACTCATTCTGCCTAGAGGCACAGAGATCAGGGAGGCAGGCATAAGTGGTGACCCACGACCTCATGACAAGGGTATGAAAAGGACAGCTGAAGGGCCTCTGAGTGAGGCCAGTGGGCAGGACCCCCCAGCTAAAGAAGTGAAACAAGACACAGAGGACACTGTCAGCGAAGCCAAGAGGAAGCGGGGACGTCCTCGGAAAAAGCCAGGTGCGAGTGGGGAGCGGCACACTGCTCCCGAGAAGGCTGCAGCCGCAGCTGCTGTGAACTCTCCCCGATGCCCCAGGGTACTCTGGGAGACTTGGGGCTCAAAGGGGGAAAACAACTTAGCTGGGAGAAGAGAAAGACTAGGGCCAATGGGTGAAGCCGAGCAGGAACCGGTGCCTACTGAAGGTCAGAAAGAGTGTGCTGTTTCCAAAGGAGAAAGGAGCCTGAGTTCCCAGCAAGCCAAAGAAGCAGAAGATAAAATTCCTCTCATCGCCTCAAAAGTGAGTGTGATCAAGGGCAGAATTCAAAGGGAGGCTCCACCATTGGTAAGGGGAGAGGTTGACGCTGCAACACAGGGTAACAAAGGGTTAAAGGGGCGTGTACTTCAAAGTTCTCTAACCTATGAGCATAAGGACCCCAAAGCAACGCCCCCATGATAGACAGACAGGTCTGTGGGAAGAATGGCTGCTAGCTCACCTGCCTGCCTGGTAGAGGCCCCTCACTGCACCCGCTTTGCATTCAGCCAGTCTGTCCCTAAAGGAGCCCATTGCTTGGCTTCTATAGTGCCTGGTGGCTGCTTCAGACGCTTCCAGTCCAACACCTTGGCTTTAATACAACCCGTAAATCTGTAATGGCCTTCCCACCTAGATCCCTGTGCTCTCCTGGGGGAAACAGAGATAGGGTAAACGTGAATATAGGTTAGGGATATTCTGGCTTCTACTCATAGAAAATTTAGAACTCACACTTAACATAAAAGCTATTCATTGGCTTCTGAAATTGGGAAGTTGAGGCGGTGCTGGCTCCGGGTGAGACTTGCTCGATTGCCCAGTGTTTGTCACTGCTTCACCGAACGTGCAGGCATCCTTAGTTTAGACCCCTGCACAGCTGCCAGCACTCCCAGGGTTGTGTGTGACCATTATATCCAAGCAGAAAGGAATCCTAGCCAAAGCCCAAAGAGTTACTGTGATTAACCAGCCTGGGTCACGTCTATCCTTGACCAACTAGTGTAGCCAGGAAGATGTTTATATAATGTGTTTACTATACACCATGGACCAGCTTTGGAACAAAGGGCGGAATTGGAATTGGCCTTCTCACACCACAGACTCCACAGATGGGAGACTTGGGGTGGAGGGTGGGGAGCAGCCAGAAGTGTGTTTTAGTTTGGTAGGCTGAGGTGAGCTAGACTGCTGCCTTAAGGCTCCCCAAGTGTGACATTTCTCTCACTACAGCTGTAACTTATTATTGTTGTAGCCTGGGAAGGACAGAGAAGGAAGCCATTCTCTTTAGAGTCTCTTTAATCTCACACGACAACTTTCCCACCTCTGCCTCATACACAGCTCCTTTAAAGGTCTGAATTTTACTTTCTCAATCCTGCCACAAATCTAGTACCACTTTCTTGGAGTATATGAGATACCCCGGTAGTCATTCATTATATTCATTCTGCATCCACCAGGTGTCAGTCTCTTGTCATGCATGTGTCAGGTCCTAGCCAGGACTGTGGGGGTTGGGCTAGATTAACAGAGGAGGTGGTACCGATTCTGCAAGTCAGGGAGCACCAGCAGGAAGGATCCAGACACTCAAGATGTATCCTTGGGGACAGCAGGAAACAAACCCATATTAACTGAGGACCTCCTACTTTGTCCTCTCCACAGGATAGCTTCTTGTCAGGGAATCTTGGTTTTTTTCCCCCAAGAAATACAGATTTTTTTTTCAGGGAGATATCACCCATTTCTCCATTTATTTCCATGAGAGCAGATTTTTTTTAAATTATAGTATTTGATATCTATAAAAATATGTACTATAAATTATGAAATGGAATGAGTACCTATGACCCATCATTCAATTTATACATTAAAAATACTATTAGGTTTATGCCTCCCTTCCCTGCCTCTGCTTAGAGGTAACCACTGTCTTTAATTTTATGCTCATTAATCGTTTGTTTATGTATACTGGCCATGTGTGTATATATTCTTTAAGAATGTATTATTTCTTTTGCTTGTGTTTTAGCTTTACAAAACTGTGCTGTTAGCCCTTGAGGTTTGCTCTTTTGCACTTACCATTGTTTCTAAGATTCACCTATGTTGTAATAGCTATGGTTCATTCATTTTCATCTGTATAATACTGCGGCAAGCACATAGAACACAAGTTATCTAGCCATTCACCTATTGAATAACATTGGGCTGTTTCCAGTTTTTGTTATTATACACAATGCTGCTATGAACATTCTTGTATATGAGTGCCTTTGTTTTCAGTAAGATTTCTAAAGAGGTTTCTAAGATGGTCCTAGACAGTCCTTTTGGTCTGTGTACCCTCCGAGTAGGGGACTGTTGCCTCTTGTCTTACTTTATGGAAGAGTTTACATCGTATTGAAATGAACTGTTCTTGAATGTTTGATAAAACTCACCTATAAAGCCATCTGAGCCTTCTGTTTTTTTGTGGGCATATCTTTTGTACAAGACAGGGTCTACTACATAGCTCTGCTGCCCTGCTCACTGTGTAGACCGCCTGCCTCTGCCTCCACACTGCTGCGATTAAAGATGTGCACCACTGTGCCCAACTCTTTGTAGACATAATTTTAACTGCTGGTTCCAGCTATTTAGTAACTATAAACTATTTGGGCTCCTGAGTCATTTTTCCAGCTTAATGTGCATTTCATATCTTTTTCTTTTTTTGGAACAGAATCTCACTATATAGCCCTGGCTGGCCTGGAACTCACTATGCAGATAAGGTTGGCCTCAAATTCACAGAGATCCTCCTACAGATCTCCAAGTGCTGGGATTGAAGGTAGCACCACCATGCCCAGCTCATTGTTCTTTTCAAACATGAAGTTAATGTATTCTACTTTCATTTTCATGTCTGCTATTTACTTGTGTAACACCACTGCCCCGTGATCAATGAACCAGAGATTTTAGTTGTAAATTTTCAGATGCTACCATGGGCTTTGTTGACCTTCTCATTTGTTTTCCATTTCATTAATTATCCATACTGATTCCTACTTTCTTAAGGTTTGATTTTGTGTTTCCATATAGTTAGTATTCTCTTCTTCTTTTTATTTTTTTTTATTTTTTTGGTTTTTCGAGACAGGGTTTCTCTGTATTGTTTTGGAGCCTGTCCTGGAACTCACTCGGTAGAACCAGGCTGGTCTCGAACTCACAGTGATCCGCCTGTCTCTGCCTCCCGAGTGCTGGGATTAAAGGCGAGCGCCACCAACGCCCGGCTCTCTTCTTCTTTTTAAAGAAACATTTATATTCTTGTTTGCTTTTAGTAGCCCAGGCTGCCTCTAAATCACTCTGTGCTGAAAATCACCTTGAGCTTCTGATCCACCTGCTCTGCGTTCCAAGTCCTAGGATTACAGACATGTGTCGCCATGCCCCACCTATGCGGTGCTGGGCTGGAACTCAGGGCTTCCTGCATGCTAGGCAAACACTCTACCAACTGAGCTACGTACCCTGCCTTTTATCGTATCCTAATTAGACAGCTGGTTATAGCTGCAGGGTTTTTGAGAGAACTCAAGCCAGTCTTCCGTCATGAGCTTCCTGAGTGTTGAAACTGCAGGTGTGGCTTCTGGCTTCTATGTTATAGACCTCCACCCTTAGCTAAGGTCACATGGTAGGCAGGCACTCAGAGTGCTGGAGTACATGCTCAGGCTTTGTTTTGTTTTCAGACAGGGTCTGGGGATGGTACATATCTCAGGATGACCTTGAAAGTCTATAGCCCAGACTAGCCTCTAACTTGAGATCCTCTTGCCTCAGCCTCTAAAGTGCTGGGATTATAGGTATATGTCACAAATCAAACTAACTCTACTTTTCCACAACCCATGAGGCTTTCTAGATTATATAATATTTTCATCATTATTTACTTTTAAAAATATTTAAATTGCCTTCATGACTTTGTATATTATGTATGTATATGTATTTTATATGTAGACACATGTAGAGGGCTGAGTTTGAAATTAGGTGTCTTCCTCAATGGCTCTCACCATATATATATACATACATACATATATATCAAAGAAGAGTATCTGTTGAACCCAGCATTCCCTGTTTGAGCTAGCCTAGGAATCCCTGACTCTGCCTCCTACATTACAGGCAGGCTGTCATGCCCACCAAGCTTTGATTACTCCAGTTCTCACAAACAAGCACTTCCCCCATCTCTACAGCGCCCTTTATGACTTGTTTTTTGGTGTCTGTGGTGGGGGCAATCAAACCCAAGACTTTGTGAATGCTCTACCACTAGCTATAACCCTCACACTTTATAAGTTATTTAAAAAATTTTATAAGTTTCCAAATAACCAACAATTTACATTTTTAAAATCTTTTTTGATACTGGTTTTCAACGTTGTCATTAGTATTCAAATAATATATCTCTAAGCAGAGTATATATAATGCCTTCATGCCTGTAACCCCAGCACTGGGGAAGTCAAGGCAGGAGTGGTACAAACTCCTATGGGCTATATCAAAAGTTGCAGGTGTGAGACCACTTGAGAAAACTAACCAAACAAAGCCAGGTATGGGTCCAGGCCTGTAATCCCATGCTTAGGATGTAGAAACAGAAAGATCAGAAATTTAAGGCCAGTCTCGGCCACATGGTGAATTTTAGGCCAGCCGGAGCTAGAAGAGAACCTGTACACACACAAAGCAAGGGTTTGGGGACGGTGCAAGGTGAGTGACAGAGGGATGTTTCAGGAGTAAGTTCAGTTCCCAGCACCCACATCGGTGGTTCACAACTGGCTTAAATCTAGCTCCAGAGGATCCAACACCTCTAGGCCCTTTAGGTATCTGCATATGCACACACACGTAATTAAAAATAAGAGTATTTAAGAGAATAATCTGATATATAATTTTAAAAACACAACCTCTTCTCACACACACACACAGTGTCTTTGGTATCAATTCTTAGAAATTTCTTGGGATTTTTGTTTTCTGACTTTACTTGGGTATCTAAATCTGTGATACGTGGGAGGCTCAGGGTTCAAGTGAGGCTTACTTGTAGTCCCGGTCTTTAACTAGACCTATGGTTTTATTTTTGGGGGGAGGAGGTTTCGAGACAGGGTTTCTCTGTGGCTTTGGAGGCTGTCCTAGAACTAGCTCTTGTAGACCAGGATGATCTTGATTGAACTCACAGAGATCTGCCTGCCTCTGCCTCCCGAGTGTTGGGATTAAAGGTGTGTGCCACCACTGCCTGGCTTAGACCAATGGTTATAACTGTTCCTTGTAGACAGAAATTTCTGTCTTGCCGCATCCTGCAGCCCTTCAGTCCCAAATAAACACACAGAGGCTTATATTAATTATAAACTGTTTGGCCTATTGCTCAGGCTTATTACTAACTAACTCTTACAACTTAAATTAACCCATAATTAACCCATATCTGTGTTTAGCCACATGACTGGGTACCTTTTCTCAGTGTGGCATTCTCATCTTGCTTCCCCTGTGTCTAGCTGGCAACTCTATCTCTGCCTTCTTCTTCTCAGAATCCTCCTAGTCTGCTAGTCCCACCTATACTTCCTGTCTGGCTACTGGCCAATCAGCGTTTTATTACATCAATATGAGTAACAAATCTTTACAGTACAAGAGCATTATTCCACATCAGTTCACAATGGTAATTTGGGTGTCTGGTTCTCCTGCATGTTGCTCATATGTTATGTACCTTTCAGCATAATGTCTTACATGTTTCTCCTTTAGTGTTCTCCCTTACTTTCTAATGAACTGGACAACATTCAAAAATTATATGATAACTATAACAGACCCAGATCTCACTGCCTTTTGGTGAGAGAGCTCTTGATTTTATCTATGCTATCATGTATGTGTCTACAAATATGATTCTGCTATTTCCCCTTGTTTCTCGAAGTGCTAGGCACTCACAGTGCTGGTCATCTAGACTGTCTTCAGACAAATAATTATCTCAACAGCACAGTGTCAGTCATTTTCTGAATGGTTAGCACAGAGAACCCTAAAAGCCCAAGCAGCACATGTAGATCAGACAGGTCAGAGGGGACTTCCTAGAAGAGGTCAGCAGGAAACAGTGAGATGATTCTAATTCACCAAGCAGGGACCGCATGGACAGCATGAAGCATAGTGGGACCAGAAACCAAGCTCCTGATGGCAGGTATAGGGATGTCAGTGGGGCTGAGTAATCTGGGAGGCAGCGTGGAAAGGGCAAGCAAGCATGAGCTATTCAAGTCTATAAAGGTGAAGAGGTGAGAACCCGGAAGCATTCCAGGAGAGGCAAAGTTGTGGGTGTGTGGCATGGCAGTATAGCCTGGGAGTGAAACCACAAGAGGTTATGAATTAAGGTCATTAGACTTGGTGGCAAGTGCCTTTACCCACTGAGCCAGCTTACTAGCCTAATCTGTGTGGATTATTAAAAATAGCTTTGTCTATCCTATTTTCAGATGTAACTTGGGGGCTGGAGAGATGGTTCATTCAGTAAAGTGCTCATGGTACAGCATAAGGGCCTGTGTTTAGATCCCCAGCATCTACCTAGAAGCCAGGCAATGTAGCCTACCTCTAACTTCACTGCTAGGACATTGGGCAAAGGTAAGAGAAGCTCACTGGCTGGCCAGCCTAGCTGGATTGGTGACCACCTGGTTCAATTAGAGACCACCTTCATAAGTGAGAAGGAAAGCAATTGAGAAACAAACCCAAAGTGGACTTCTGCCATTGAACTCGCTCTGTAGAGCAGGCTGGCCTCAAATTCACAGAGATCTGCCTGCCCCCACCTCCCAAGTGCTGGGACACTATATTTATTTATGTGTTTTTGGTTTTTCGAGACAGGGTTTCTCTGTATTGTTTTGGAAGCTGTCCTGGAACTCACTCTGTAGACCAAGCTGGTCTTGAACTCACAGAGATCTGCCTGCCTCTACCTCCCCAGTGCTGGGATTAAAGGCGTGCGCCACCAATGCCCCGCTCCATATTATTTTTTAAATTGTATTTTAGTTATGTGTCTGTGCATGCATACCACAGTGCTTGAGTTCAGGTCAGGGGGAAACTTGGTGGAATCAGTTCTCCCCTTTCACCATGTGGGTCCTAGGAATCAAACTTAATAACCAGGCATGGTATCAAATGCGACCCACTGAGCCATCTGTGTCCTGACAGTATTTCTTCTCTCTCTCTCGCAACAGCGTTTCTCTGTGTAGCCTTAGCTGTCCTGGAACTTTCTGAGACTAGGCTGGCCTTGAACTCAGAGAGCCACCTGTCTCCCGAGGGCTGGGATTAAAGGCATGTGCCACCACTGTTGACCAGCTTTGTTTTAAACAAATGTTTTTATTCTTTGTTAATTTCATATAATATACTACTCTTTGCCCTTAGCTCCTCCCATACCTTGCTACTCACCCAACTTCACGTCCTTTCATAAACAAAGCCACATGGCGGCCCAGTTTGTTTTGACTGATTACTGCTGAGGATAGGGCCCGTCCA